ATGACGTCAAGTAATTCAACAGATCCAAATTTTACAAAAAAGTGAAATCAACACATCTCGGAAAGAGTACAAAATGCATTCGAAAGTATAAGAAGATCTATTCAAAAGCTATGAATAAAACTGAACGAAAAATAAATTTGTGCGATAGGTGGTAACCCTTTCGGACATGTAGACTATGTAAAGCATTAGAAACTAGTTTGTAGAAGTTAATATTCATAATAACTACGATTAGTATTATGCAAATTATTAGATCGTACACTTAGATCGAGAATTTCAAATTCACAATAAGAAAAGTTAAAAATAATATCTTAAATTGCTGATCTGGATATTATTTATTCGAATCTTTCAATTTGCTCAATTTTCTTTATTCATTGTAAATTAACACTGATCAATATTGTTGCGATGAATATAATCAGATTAAATAATTTAAAAAACAGAGTCGGACTTGAAATTTTTTAAATAATAATTAAATAGTTTTGTTGCTATTAAGTGTACCATATCATTGTACTCAGGAGACTGAGTTTTTTCAAAATCTGAAATAAAAAATGAAGGTCCGTATTTAAAAAAATTAAGTTGGTCATGAAAAAAAGTTCTTTGCCTCGGGTACAGATACCGCCACGTTTTGGAAATAGCTCAAAACGAAACAAAATTGAACGAGGCAACGGGAAACGGCCAAAAAGATCCCCCATGCCCTCCTCACGAGTAGATTTCAAGCGCTTTTAAGAATCGAAGGTAGGTCAAACCGAAGTGGGTCAAGACAACTGGAAATAAACCGAAATGCGACAAACTTGGGCGACAAAATGCGACTTTGACCTGCTTCGAAGAGTTCTCCGCATAGTGTAGAGGCTGTTCTAAAAGATAACATAATCTACCATACCAAAATATTTTTGGCTTCATTCTTTAGTGACTATTAATAGAATTTGATCAAAATTACTTCATAAAAGCCCTATAACCAAATAAAAGTTCACTTAAGTAAATAAACAAGTTTTATTGATTTTTTATTAATAAAACGGAATTAAATGTTAAAATGTAACCTTGCTTTTATAAATACTAAGCCCTATAGCTTGTTATGAAATTAATAATTATTTTAGATAAATGCTCTGTGAACTTTTGCAAGCCATCCTCTTGGAAACAAGCTGTGTTATTAAGCAAACTCGGGTAATGTTTAATTTACTTTTTAATTAACTTAAGTTTAATATGTGAAATTTAAATTCGTTCTAAAATTTAATTTCTAATACGTGCATTGATAAACGTTAATTGTGTTTTTTAATAACATTTAATTAATCGCAAGTATCTCTACATTATTGTAAATGCAAAGTCACTGTTATTGGAAACAACGCTGAAAACCTGAAAGTATTAATAGTGAAAAAAAGTACAAAGCTATTTTGGTCTGAATGAAATTCGAATAGAATATACGTTTAAAATATAATTTTAGAATATTATATTTGTGTGATTCTACGGAAATTTCGACCATTTAACATATAGGTATTGATTGTTGTATTAACCTGTGTGTAACCTGTAGCCCGTGAACTTGGCAGTTTAGTTCAAATTCCGAAGTCAAGGCTAACTAATATTAAAAGGTGTTTATCAATTTAGTTTTGTCAAAAATTATATATATATTTTTGTGGGTTATGATATTTATAATACGTTTCTATTAAAAATTATATCGTTAAAAGAACTAAGTATGAGAAAATGAAAATAAGTTGTAATGAGTTTTTAGTAATAAAAATAAATGAAATTCCTTTCTGATTCTCGAAATAGGCTACTGTCGCCAATACTAGCCATTTATTTCACAATTTTATCGTTTACTTGTGTTAATAAAATATTTAATTTTAAATGCTGTGTAAACTTTTGCCAGTGATACCTTTGGAGGCAAGCTGATGTGTTATTAGAGTATTAGGAGATTTTTAATTTACTTCATTATCCAATAAAGAAATTATCTATACTAATATATAAAATCCTTAAGTGACTGACATACTGATTAATCACGATCCTGCTCAAACCACTCAACGTAAGAAGCTCAATTTTGGCATACAGGTTGATTCTAGGGTGTAGAGGTTCGATAAGAAGGGATTTTTCGAAATTCTAGTAAGAGGGTAAAACCACCCCTCAAATATTACAATATTTTTTATTTAAAAAACGGTCAAGTTTCCGAAAAAACGATTAAACACGTATATTTTATTTTGTTTTTTTACATATTTTAAGATTTTTTAAAAATGTATATAAGGTGTTTCGAAAAATCTGGTCATTGATTAATCACGATCCTGCTTAAAGCGCTTGACTTAAAATGGATAAAAGATCGATAAGAAGGGATTTTTCGAAACTCGAATTCTAAGGGGGTGAAACTATCTCTCAAATATTAAAATATTTTTTATTTAAAAACCGGTGAGTTTTCCGGAAAAACTCTTAAACACGTATATTTTATTTTGTTGTTTTACATATTTTAAGATTTTTTAAAAATTTATACAGGGTGTTTCATAAAATATGACCATTGAGTAATCACGATTCTGCTTAAACTGCTTGACGTTTAAAGCTGATTTTTGGCAAACGGATTGACTGTGGGGTGTAGAGGTTCGATAAGGAGGGGTTTCTTGAATCTCAAATTCCAAAAGGGTGAAAACACCCCTCAAATATTACAATATTTGTTATTTAAAAAACGGTTAGTCTTTTGGGAAAACGCTTGGACAAGCATAATTTATTTGGTTTTTTTACATATATTTAAATTTTTTAAAAAATCATACAGGGTGTTCCAAACAGGGTTGGCAAATATCATGATATTTATATAAATATCAAATATCGGATATATATCCGATATATATCTGATATATATCCGATATATATCAAGTTTTGATACTTATTTTTGTTTTTATTTTTTATGTGAAACTGCGTTTAGTATCAAGTAAAATCAAGAGCTCAAGAAAATATTTTTATTTCAACTTAATTATTGTTGCTTTGCACATAATAGGAACAACATTAAAACAAAAATATATAAAAATATACAGAAATTCTAAAAAAATAAACAGAACTTCTAAAAAATAAACAGAAATTCAAAAAATAAACAGATATTCTAAAAAATAAACAGAAATTCTAAAAAATAAACGGAAATTCTAAAAAATAATCAGGAATTCTAAGAAATAAACGGAAAATTCTAAAAAATAAACGGAAATTCAAAAAAATAAACAGATATTCTAAAACTAACAACAAACAAATTTATATTTGATTTATTAATTTTATTAATGGTAAATCATCGTTAGATTCGTCAGAGTCAGAGTCAATTGATACTGTTTCTGGAAAAGTTTTTGGTACATTTGAATTGTCCCAGATCCAATCAATATTATCTTTTTTGTTTTTTTTTAATTTTGTCATTTCTATTCACGGGGTTAAAAATTATCGAATTATTAATATCTCTATTATAAAATAGGGGTTAATGGTAGAAGGGTGAAAATTTTGGGTTGTTTGTGTTTTTAATACCACATCATAGAAAAACAAAAATCAAAAATTTTGACTAAAAAAAAAATTGGTGACCCTTGCCGTACTTTTTCTTGATTTTTGGTATGATTTGGTATGCTAGTATAAACGGAAATTCTAAAAAATAATCAGGAATTCTAAGAAATAAACGGAAATTCTAAAAAATAAACGGAAATTCAAAAAAATAAACAGATATTCTAAAACTAACAACAAACAAATTTATATTTGATTTATTAATTTTATTAATGGTAAATCATCGTTAGATTCGTCAGAATCAGAGTCAATTGATACTCTTTCTGGAAAAGTTTTTGGTACATTTGAATTGTCTCAGATCCAATCAATATTATCTTTTTTGTTTCTTTTTTAATTTTGTCATTTCTATTCACGGGGTTAAAAATTATCGAATTATTAATATCTCTATTAAAAAATAGAGGTTAATGGTAGAAGGGTGAAAATTTTGGGTTGTTTGTATTTTTAATACCACATCATAGAAAAACAAAAATAAAAAATTTTGACTAAAAAAAAATTGGTGACCCTTGCCGTACTTTTTCTTGATTTTTGGTATGATTTGGTATGCTAGTATATGACATAAATTAGGATTGATTGACGTATTCAATTGTTTTCGGTCACTTCATGTTTCACCGGAAATGACTACAACTTTTGATTTTTAAATGGCTCCCTTGGTATTTTTTTTACTTTATTCGACACTCTGAATCGAATGAAATATCATATGTCAACTTTTGACATATTCGCTCAAAAATAAATTGTATTTTAAATTGTTTTTAGTGTCTTGTCCTGGCCGGTTAAAAGATGCCCAAATCGTATTTTTAATCATATCTCAATTTTTTCAAATGAAACGAGGGTGGCTCATTAGCATATTTGGAAAATGCATTTTTTTACGAATAATTTGATACCACACACTTCTTGGTATTTCGAGTCAAATTGTCGTTATGAACCGCATGTTTCAATTTCAAATAAACCATATGCGAAAATGTCAAAAGTTGACATATGATATGTCATTCCATTCAGAGTGTCATTTTCTATCGAATAAAGTAAAAAAATACAGAGAAATCCATTTAAAAATCAAAAGTTGTAGTCATTTCCGGTGAAACCGGAAGTGACCGAAAACAATTGAATAGGTCAATCAATCCTAATTTATATCTTATACTAACATACGAAATCTCGTTTTTTTAACTGAAAAAATAAAAAAGTTATAGGGGGTGAGCCACTTTTGAGACGCACCCGGTATAGACACCCAAAATCACATTCAAATCTGAACAACGATTCTTAAAATATATCTTAAAAAATGTTTTTATTTTTTTTAAAGTTTGATGCCCTTTAACGGACAAACGAAGCACTTATGTATAGAGGTAAATTGTGCCCAATAAACTTATTTTGATTCTAAAAATACATACTAGTCCTATATGTCCACGGATTAGATATTGGGACACCCTGTATATTAGATTGATTGAAAGATAAACCTTTCCATTATATAGTCTTCAAAATAATAACGTTACTTATTGTTGTTACAGGACGAAGTCCTAGCCATATCCGAGAAAGTGGTCATCCGCGTCGAGGATCTGATCACGTGGATCATCGTGGATGCGGAATGGAGCTGGGGCAGGCTGGCCGCTTGCGAGTCCGACCTGAAGGACGTCCAGATAGAGCCGGACCAATGCGCTTCCCCCAGGAAACCGGCAGGAAACAGTTTCAGCTTGTCCGAAACCGGTTTGGACTATTTCGAAATCGAACAGGAACGCCAACAAATCGGTGAGTTTTGTTATCTTCGTTTCGTTAACTTTTTTGGACGCTAAGCTATGTTTTTTTAAAGAATATTTTAGATATTTTTTATCCTTAAGATGAATTTTCTTGTAGTTTGCGGTGATGAAATTGTCACGCAGGTTCTGTTTCACTTTAGATTCTTCGAAATTAACAAATTTTCTATAAAATTAAGGGGATATTCTGACTTTTTAGATAAAAATGAAGATTTTGTGAAAATTTGTGTGGAACATTATTTGTTAACCTCAAAAATATTTGTGCATAATTTCATAGCTTTAGATAGTTTAGAAAAGAAAAGGATTCGCATCACGACATGAGAAGAATGAGAAAGCAACCGAGTAATAAACACTCAAGAGATATCTACACATATGCTTCCGTAACTTCAGGAGGCACAGGATTATTCTCAGAGGAACTAGACATACGACAATCTTTAAGGCTATCGGATGGCTGTTATGTTCTACAAGCAGGTTTACGCCATAAAGGAAGCGGCCAGTTGTATACGAGAGAAAATCGCTGATAGACCAATAGGAAATATCGTGATATACTCTGACAGCTTCGTTGCTTTAAGAAGCATCACCATGCAATCAGTGAGATCGAAAACTGTGATGGACTGCCGAGAAGCACTGTCCTGGCTGCGTCAAGGCGGGGCTGCTCTGTACTGGGTGCCAGGCCACAGCAATGTGGTGAGAGAGGCAAAGCAAAGAGGGGGCCAGGGGAGAAGCCGTAGCAATTGACCCAGTACTTGTGACGATCAATAAACTGAAGGAAGCTGTAGGAACTACCATCGAGGCCAAGAAGCTAGAGATGTGGCAATACCGTGAGGACTGCGCTACAACTCTAAGACTGTGGCCAGTGGCAGATAGCAAAAAGACAAAACTACTAGAGCACAAAAAGAACCTAGTAGAGTACGAACCGACTAAGAACATGTCACGACCTTGATAGAAAACGATCGCCTTCTCTCTTGGGTTCTACTCATGGACGCGCCAGTGCAAGAGAGACAAACGATTTCTAAGTGATGACGCTCGTAGCATGTTCTTAGTTGGTTCGTACTCTACGCATAATTAATTGTAGGACACTGTCATCACTGGAAACTGCCCCACGAGGGTAAACCTCGTGAGATGGAAGATTTCTAACAACAACTACTGCATAGAATGCGGAGAGGAAGAAGAAACCATAGAGCACCTGCTGTGCCACTCTCCGGCACTGGAATACCGACGCTTTAAAACTTTAGGGCAATGTTTTTTGGAGGGACTAGAGGAAGCAGCAGAAGCCAACATCAGCGACATCGGGAACTTTGTCAAGAGCTGGAAGCTGGAAGTCCTTGAATGCAAAGAAAGCATGAGAGGAAGGTTTGGTACAATAATACAGGGGTATCGCAATGGGCCCAAGGCCTCCGAGTGAGAGATCAAACATGATCCTAAACACCAGCAACCTAACCTAACCTTCATAGATTTTCGTGCGTTTTTTGTAGTTACGGGTAAATAACTAAATTTTAAGAAATATTAATAGAAAACTTAGAGAATCACGAATGAAAATATTCAAATAAGCAAAGCATTCAAATTCGTGTTAAAATTAAGAAAAAAATAACAGAATTGCGACAAAAAAAACAGTTTAAACTAAAGCAGTAATTCTTAGTAATGCATGAATACATGGATAGTATTATTTTCCTTCCTTAATATTTGTATTGAAAGGGCAGAATGAATTGATTCACCATAATTTTTTTAATAATTTAATATTTTTTTATTTCTTGCGATATTGTTGCACACACTACTAATATGAGAAATGTGAAATAGCTAGGAGGATGCTTAATCTAACCTCATATTGATATTCTCCCAACATACAAAATATTTTTGTTATATATTATTTCGCTTTTTGAAAATTAATACCTACAGCTGGGTTCTAATGATATTTATTTTTAATAGTGCTTTAGTTTATTTGCTTTTTAAAAGTTCAAAAGATACTTATAAAAAACACTACAAATCCCACAAGTTAAATTTTATATTTTTTTTTAATTAAAAATAAAATGGCAGGAGTACAAAAAACTGGATAAAACTAGACTGAAATTGAATGAATTAAAAATTGTAAAGGAAGCGTTTGTTAAACTTTGTCTTTATTAAGAAAATAATAGAGGAAGTTTCATCTTTAGAGAATATAAATACGAAATTATAAATATACAGGAAGATACTGTGTCAAAAATTTTATGATCACATGGGTTTTGAAGGATTGTAAAATACGGAGATAATAGAAGTACATATGTTTAACTGTGAACCTTCAAAACTAGTTAGAAAAGAGTTATACATTTTAAATATCGATAACGCGAATATAGAGGATTTATTTTAATTTCAGGATTAACCGTTCACCATATTAATTAAAAAAAGGACCGAGGAATTGTATAATATTTTGGCTGTACTTAAACTGCCGTTAAACGGTAGCTTACTAAAATGCCGTTAATAGGTATGACATCGTTGATGTGACGCACTTGACGGCTTTATGAAATATAGGAATTTTATAAGGAATAACCAACGCTACCCACCCCACCAAATAAACAACTTAACCAACGCAACTAACCTCGACACTGATAAAAAATATAAAAAACAAATATAAATTAGTAAAAATCAACCAACCCTACCAAATAACCAACTAACCAATGAATTAACACCCTCCAAATAACCACGCTAACCAACCCGCCAAATAACTAAACCAATCCAACCAAAAAGACTGAAACCAATGCAATAAGATCCCGCTATAAGCAAAAAAAAATATAAAAAAGTCTTGGTCGGCGTGAGAATTGAACAACGGACCATTCGCTTATAGCCTCAGCCACTGACCCACAGGTGCTCTGGCAGAATGCTTAAGGCTAGGCATTACTTTCCGCCGACATGAACGACGTCACAATATCTATTAACGGCATTTTAGTAGCCTACCGTTTAACGGCTGTTTAAGTACATCGTAATATTTTTCTACAACCGTTCGTTGTTCTGTATTCGGACATATACAATATGGGAAAACATATTTTAATTTTTAGGGATCTGAACTTTTATTTAATTTTTCCAGTAACTGTCACGGAAGGCGATTTATATTCTTTTATTAACCACCAATATGTATTACCAGTCATGACCTATGCATGCGAAACCTGGACACTTAAGACGGACATCTGGAAACTGCAAGTCGCACAACGCTCAATGGAACGAAATATGCTGAGAATAACCAAGAAAGACCGTAAAAGAATGTGAGGAGAGTGGATATGAGAAAAGACCTAGGTAATACGAGATAGATATCATCTACAGAATGAAATCTCTCAAGTGACAATGTGCAGAACTCCTTTCAAGAAGGACAGACAACAGATAACAGATGGATCATGGACCAAATTACGAGGGATTAAGAGACCTAGAAGTAGACCAAATCTGAAATGGCACTATGATATTAGGAAATTAGCAGGGATAACTTGGGTCCGCATAGCCAACAATAGACAACAATGAGCTCAACGACAAGGAGAGTACCTAAGTATATGAGGGAGGCTAACACCATAGTTGGAAATGGTAGAAAAAGCTGAAAATGATGGGATGTCATGATGGAACTAGCATGGGATTGTCCATTATATTGATGCAACAGTACTATCTTTTATCGGTGGAAATTGCCTAACCGACCATCTCGCGAACAACAACGATGCTCCACTTGCGAACGAACACAGTGCTCTGAGTTTAATAAAAATTGACTTTAATGATTGTTTATAGCAATTATAATATTAACAGTATTTTTTTCCGTACTTTAATTATTGTTTCTAGGTTTCTAGTAATTATACTATTGTATTTCTTTTTTCGTTTCCTCGGCTTGATAAAAATATTATTTATTTGTAATATACTATGTTATATACTATAATAGTCTAATTATTATTACGTCATATTTAAAGATTAACTAAAGATAACTGTCAAGAAAGTTATATACTTTCTGACATCCCCCTTTAGACTTCATTTTCCCTATCTCTGGTATAAACCAAAAATTTATACCCATCATTTTTCCGGTCTACTTGACGGCCTTCAGATTTTTCGGAGCAAGTTCACTCGGCAAAGTTTATTAGTTAGATTGCTCTTTCATATCGGACTGCTTCTCAAGATCCTTGTTCTGTAACAATAACTTATATTCGGCAGAAATTTAGCTAAATTACTTTAATTATTTAAGTAGCAACTGCTTACTTTGAAACTGTAACTCTATCGCATACTATCTATTATTTACTGCTGCTTCTTAGATTATTCATGCCCAATTAATTGTGCAAAATGGATTTCACTGTGCTCGACTCATCCGTCGATCTTTTAAATCAATAACCTGCATTTTGTCAATTATTTCCTCAGGTATAAACTAGGGATGGGACTTGTTCCGATATATCGATAACTATCGATACTTATCGATTAGAGGTGGGCGAAGATTGAACGAGTTGTTCATTTGAACGAGTATTAAAAATGAATCGTGAGATTCGATGCATTGCTTACAATCCGGTTCGTTAAACTGAATCGTGGCCAGCACGAATCCATAACATCTGAAGGATGAGCCGTAAAAAAGAATCGTGAGGATGGAAGCGGATCACAATGCGATCGTGCGTTTAAAGAGTCGTGTGATTCGATTCATTGCTTACAATACGGTTCGTTCAATTGAATCGTGGCCAGCACGGATCTATAAGATTTGAACGATGTGCCGTAAAAAAGAATCGTGAAAATTGAATTGGATCACAATGCGATCGTTCGTCTCTATAATACGGGGTGGTTCACTACTGGAATTACATTGACATTTTCTTCGCAGTCACTGGCAGTCTTAAGCTTGCCACGCACTTGTGCGAAGCGCGGCGAAGTGCGCGACATGCTTTACGGCAGTCGCCTATTATAATAACATGGCAGTCATGGGCAGTCTTCTTCGCAGTTTTGGCAGCCGCTTGGCAGTAAGATGATATTTTGGAGGTACATGTACATTTTTTATCAAAGTGAGATACCCCTCGTCAA